AGTATGATAATATCGCGAGAAAAAGTCCACGGTACGATATTTATCGCGATATTGAAAAATAAAGGGAAAAAAATGTGATTTTTTATTTTTTTTAATTTATTAAATAATACTTCTCATTTGTACAGCATTTTAGTAGGATAGTAGTATTTTAAAGTGTCAACAATATAATAATCAGACCCTGCAATAGAATAAATCAAGTTTCACTTTAGTTTTTACAACTCACTCACTTAGCATCATCAAGGTTATCTTTTAGGAATATGAGCATGTCCACATTTCCAGGTAGAAACTGGGATGTTTGGGCGTTTACAATATCCCATGTTGTGGAAAAAAACTCTCTTGCTTGGTACTGATGTTGCTGGGACAGAGAGATATGCTTTGGCCATGGGTGACAGCAGTGGGTCAAACTGTGCATTGTCTCTCCACCACTTCAAAACCAATACAGTTTTTGCCAAGAAGGTGAGGCTTATTAACAGGGCGAGATATAAATATACAGTTGGTACTTGGCAATGTCTCTAGGTATGTACATGTAGCCCTGTAAATACGATGTCCTTTTGTGTTATCTGTTGTTTGATGTTCATGTTGTAACCTACTTGCTGCCATGTTGGACAGGTCTCCCTTGAAAAAGAGATCGATGATCTCAATGGGACCATCTGGTTAAATAAAGGTTTAAAAAAAAAAAAGATCTCACTTTTGTCAGTCTCACGACGGTATTGAGACATTTATTTACCGCGATATTCGATATGTCGTTACATCCCTATTCATTAGAATTAGTTAAATTAAACAAAAAGATCAGAGACATGATCTGTAGTTAAACACAATCCTGTTTTTCTTTTGTCAGCCTCCTTAGTATTTCAATCTGGGTTTTTTTGTATTCTCGTGATATCCAAAAGTAAAGTTCATTTAGGTTAAAACCTGCTTATGTTGATCATTTGCATTTATTATTTTGTGTTTTTCCCACAGTTTGTTGATAACATCAATGGGCCACATCAAGCTAACGGACTTCGGCCTGTCTAAAATTGGCCTCATGAACATGACCACCAACCTGTACGAGGGTCACATGGAGAAAGACACGAGAGAGTTTATAGACAAACAGGTGAGACTGGGTTTTAATATGAATAAAAACGTATTATGGAAGCAGCTGTTTCTGATTCCCACTACTCACCTGTGCTGGTTTGCTTGTGCAGGTGTGTGGCACTCCGGAGTACATTGCCCCAGAGGTGATCCTCAGACAGGGATATGGGAAGCCTGTGGACTGGTGGGCCATGGGGGTCATCCTCTATGAGTTCCTGGTTGGCTGCGTCCCATTCTTTGGAGACACACCTGAAGAGCTTTTTGGACAAGTTGTTAGTGGTGAGCGCTGAAATGATATCAATCAGTGGAAGAAATCGGAAGTAACATTTTTCTAATGTTGTTGGAAAATGTTTTTTTCTGCACCTGAACAGTATTTCTCTTTCATTATTAACCTTTGTTCTTAAAGATCCAGTGTTGAATACCCAAAAAGTAAAAAGGTAGCACAAAGACAGATCTTCAGAAAAAATGAGATTTGGTGTCCGCGGGGTCTTAAAAAGTATTAAAAGTTGATAAATCAATTTTGCGAAAATTAAGGCTATTAAAAAGTATTAAACGGCATTTTCCAAGGTATTAAGAAGGTCCACAGCAACGACAGCATGAAACACCCTTTAATTTACTGAAACGACATGTCGGGAAACCCCCTCAAGGCGGCCCCATGCATAGCGCTCCGTAAAATGCTGCTTCTTATTTAATTTTCGTTGCCTTGCTCCGCTCTGTGGGGTGGGGGCACTAAACGACTACGGTAACGATAACGGGTCCCAAGG